GAACAGTCGCATTTTCTGGAACTGAACGAGCGAAAAGTTTCGGTGGAAGTCTGGCCGCGGCGAGACTAAATTTTTATCTGCTGCGAGAGCCGAGATCGAACACGGGTCTCTCGCGTGAAAGCTTCGGGTTCCGCCACTGGGCCACAGGGAGAACTACACTAGCGCAAGCAGATAAGAGAGTGTCATCACAGTTTTGTGTGTGTCGGCGTTTGTATGCAGGTGTGCGTGTTATACAACAGGCTCATTGCTGCAATAATGACATTTTCAGCCGCTCAAACTAGGAGCTGAGAAATGTTTGAGAAATGGAGATTAGTCCGGCCTCGGCGGGGACTAAAACACACTCTTTTCTCATTTGCCGGTGACGCACGCCCATGGGGGGCGGGGTAGATTTCTTATAACGTAAAGAAAGCTAGCCGCGGTTTTAGGGCTCGCGGTCTTGATGCTGGCCCGTTTCCTTGACGACTCGCGGACAGAAGGCGGAGGTCCACAGAGCTCGCCTGTTGCGCGGCGGTTGCGCGGGCGCCTCCCAATCGAGGCCGATGCTTTCCACGGCCTGAGAGAGCAGACGCATCAGCTCAGTCTCAATGCCGGTTCTCTTACCAGTGGTCTGGCGGGAAACGCTAGCGGAGGGGAGGTCCACGGAGCTCGCCCAATCCTCGCTATCGGACGCCAGAAGAGAACACGCCTCGGTGGGTTCGTCGAACTCGTGGACGGACGCGGCGGCAGGCGGCGGCCGTTGTCCGTCAGTGAGCGACTCGAGCGAAGCCGGCGAAGCTGGCGGGCGAACCGGCGAGCTTTGGCGGGCTGGAGAAAGCTCGGGAGCGCGCTGGGCGCGGCGCTTCTTGCGGCGCGGCACCACGGCGGGCTGTGGTGAAGGCTCGGAGAATGATGCCAGGCGAGTCCTCAGAGTCACCATAGGCAAAAACTCGCAATGAGGGCATCCGCCGTCAGCGAGCGCGAGGGCCGCGTGATCCTCACCCAGGCAGGAAACACAGATGACGTGACGGTCTCCGTCGCTGAGCGGGGCGCGGCACGAGCCACAGGATGGCATCTTTAAAAAGACGCAGCTCTTTTGTGAAGAGAAGTGTGAGTCGCGTCAAGTAAGCGAGCAAACACTCTCAGCAGAGTAAAGATACACAGAGTATAAAAGGATATAGAACGCCGGAAAGCGCAGCAGGTACGGCAGTTGAAGGCGGCGAGGCCAGCGACTCCAGAGCTCGTCCCGCTGAAAGGCTTGCTTCGACGGCGCGGCTTCTCACTCCGGATCCAGCGATGCGTGTGCGTCGCTGAAGAGATGAAAATCAGCTTGTACCAGCCTAACGAGCATATTTATAGGGTGAGACCACGGCCTTTCTGGCGGGACGTGACGATATGGGCGCGAATTGCCCCCATTGGTCATTACGTCACGCAGAGTCTCTCTCGATAGGCTGCTGCAAGAGCAGCCAATAGGCGCGCGAGCTGTTTCGCCTATGTCTGCTTGCTGCTGCAAAGCGTTTTACATTAATAAAAAATTAAGGATAATTTTTGGCTTCAATATCTCGTGGAAAAGAGTTTTTCCCCTAGCGTAAGCTATTACGCAGTACGAGAGATACTCTCGTAAGAGAACTAATAAAACATAGGAGCATGCATAAAACACAGGAGAAATACTATAAACATTTGGGAAAGTTTGTGTGTATGAATGGAGTAAGTGTCCTTGTGTATTGGAAGTTTATCTCTATAGTCTTTGACCAAATGGCTAGTGTCGTCTGGTCTCCTGTGCTGTCTTTGAGGGTTGCAGACACTCCTGGTAAGATCGTTCAGTGGAGCCGAGGTGATAACTATGGAAGCTTGTTTCCGCCACTGAATAAAAAATAAAATAAAAATAATTGCGACTTTTTATCTCACAATTCTGACTTTTTTTCTCACAATTGCGAGTTTACATCTCGCAATTCTGACTTTATAACACATAATTGCGAGTTTATGTCTCGAAATTCTGACATATCCTTTCTCAGAATTGTGAGATATAAACTGGCAATTGCGAGTTATCAGTCCAATTCTAAGGCCGTGTGTCCACCAAAGCGTTTTTACTCGTGCCTGGCGTACGTTTTCAATTGTTTTCAATGGGAGCGCCGCGTTTTTTAAACGCCATGAGCGCAACGAGGTGCTGAGCGTGTATTTAACGCTCAAGCGCTGAGCGTTCGGCGTTTTTTACACGCTGAAGCGCTGAGCGCCCGGCGTTTTTACTGGTCGCCGAGAGTTGAAAAATGTTCAACTTTTGGATAAAAAGCTCATCACTGTCACTTTTCACCAACCGTCCAATCACAGTGGAGGAGGGGCGGGACTAATATCACACCGACCAACTGTCATTCAACATTCTTTGTGTACAAGGACATCAACCAGCAGAGCTGAACAAAATGGATGAAAAATTAATATTGCTGGTCTCCGAACATACGTGTTTATACCAGATGACATCCCCGGATTACCACAATGTGAATTTAAAAAACAATGCTTGGAGGAACATTTCATCGGCGATCGGTCTATCAGGTAAGCAGTCAGACAGCTGATCGGTGGGGGCCGGGATCTACGTTAGCGTAACGTTAGCTTGCAAACCGTTTTTTTTTTAGATACATTTCTATAAATAACGCCCGGTAATCGGAATATTCTATTCAGATATTCTGTATCATAGCAACGAAGCGTCTCAACGGAAAAAACGCTGCGCTGCCAAAACGCTCTCAAGTGCCCACAGCTGGGCGTTTTCAGCAGAGCGTCTAGCGTTTTCAGCCGGCTAAAAACGCTTTGGTGGACACACGGCCTGATGGTGCGTTCACACCGGACGCGAATAGCGCGTCAGGCGCGAGTGATTTCAATGTTAAGTCAATGCAAAGACGCGTTACGCGCGTAAAAAATTCCTGCGGCGCGAATGAGGCATAGAGCGCGGCGCGGTAGACGCGAATACGCCTCATTCGCGCGTCAAGTTCGCGCGAATGGCGCGAATTGAGCGTCTGGCGCGTTAAGCGCGTTACGCGCGAATGATTTAGTTAGTGCTATTTGTGCATTCACGCGTTTGACGCGAATTCGCGTCTGCCGCCCGAGTTGAAAAATCTGAACTTCTGCGTCAATTCGCGCCGCGTTAACCAATCAGGAGCCTAGCTGCTTGCTGCTGTCACGTGGTGAAGTATCTGGATGCTTCAATAAATTATTTTGTAATATATGACTGTGGTTCTAATGCACAACAAAGCAAATATTTTATCACATAAAACTTGATTTCAATATATGAGACATATTCATTTTGCATTGAATGCTATTTATTCCATATCTAGATTATATGAAATATTATTATAATGTAAAGACAACCAACATATAAGTTCGTGTCTGGACAGTGATGTGTGAGAGAGAGAGAAAAATCATAGGACAGATTAATCACTTTTGGAGGCTGGCTTCATTTATTATCAAAACAAAAATAAATGACAGATTAGGTGGATGCGGGCGAGGGTGAACCTCGCGCCGGGCTGTAGAGCGCGGGCTCGACAGGCATAGCTAGACCACTCGAGGCCGAGGGCTTATACGGCCTACGCTGTCCTCATCAGCGTCCTCACCATTAGGTCCACCAAACCTAGCTCCTGGAGCAAATTGTGAAACTCCTGAAACCCTCCGGAGGTTCTGGTGGACCCGAGTACAGCGACGATGTCCCCTACGGAGCTGCTTCTGCTCTCCAGAGCATATACGAGCGGTGACTCTCTCGAATAATGCTAATGCTAATGCTCGATAAACATCTAAAAAGATGGCCGCCAACGGGTTTCGAAACTTTCGCCTCCGGATTTCGCCTCTGACGCGCGTAAATTTCGCTTCAAACTTTTGTTTTTTACGCGCGTCAATTTCGCCATTGACACGCGAATTAACACAAAGTGGTCAAGCGTCAAACTAGACGCGGTAGACGCGAATTTGACGCGCTATTCGCGTCCGGTGTGAACGCACAGTAAGGGGAAAAAAAGACTAACTTTTTCCCCCTCAGAATAGTTTATATCTCACAATTCTGACTTTATATCACGCAATTTCGACTTTATATCACGCAATTCTGACTTTATAACACGCAATTGCGACTTTATATCAATTAATTCTGACTTTATATCTCGCAATTCTGACTTTATAACACGAAATTGCGACTTTATTTCACACAATTCTGACTTTATAACACGCAATTGCGGCTTTATATCACGCAATTCTGACTTTATAACCTGCAATTGCGACTTTATATCAATAAATTCTGACTTTATATCTCGCAATTCTGACTTTATAACACGCAATTGCGATTTTATATCACGCAATTCTGACTTTATATCTCACAATTCTGAGAAATAAAGTCAGAATTGCGAGATGTAAACTCGCAATTGTGAGAAAAAAAGTCAGAATTGTGAGATAAAAAGTCGCAATTACCTTGTTTATTTTTCATTCTGTGGCGGAAACAAGCTTCCATAGATAACGGCCTTTGAAGTGAACTGGTTTTAGGGCCGATGACAACAGGGGAGAGGGAAGGTTTTCTAATGACTAGGGCATTTGATTAAGGCCATTCGTTAGACCTATACACTTAGATTGTGTCTTTCTGTTTTACAACTGTGGACAAACAAGCTTATATTGTATACACTACTTTTATACTTTATACTTATATTTGTATACACTACTTTTATACTTATGTACTATAACATGTATATACTACACTTTTTACACACAGAGCATACACAAATAGTTTCTAAAAGGTGCATATAGTACAACATTAGGCTTAAGTATTTGGTTAATTTGCATTATTAACAGGAAATTAAAAATGAATTGTTGGATTCTTAAAATCCCCAAAAGGGGCGTGTCACTGATTCAGTCATGTTATCAAAATCTAACTCCAGCCAGGCAACCAAAGTTGGCATCCCTGGTACAATACTACTAATAATTGTCAATAGTGGCAGCTGTTTGTGTCACTTTGTCTCTTTCTCTCTATTTGCCTCTTTATTCAAACACCTTCTTTTTCTCAGCCCAGTATCAGCGGAGTGGATCTGGATAAATTCCGTGAGGTTCTGCTGCATCACTGTGACGTGAATAAAGACGGAAAGATTCAGAAGAGTGAGCTGGCCCTGTGTTTGGGAGTGAAGCTTAAGCCATAGTCCTCACATGCAGACGGAAGTTCTCCAAAGATCACTGTATTTCAATACTGTATTTGGAAGGTGAAAGCATTACGTATAACTTGTGTATCGCTTTGCAAAATATGTTATTGTGAAATAAAAATAAGGAAATGTATTCACTTTGCTTTTAAAACCATCCACTTTTGCAACAATAAAAGTATGAAAATTAAAGGATAAAAACAAACTTTGATTTGGGTCCGTTTTGATTTTACTTTTTTTTTTAAATGTACTATTTTTTTTTTTTTTTGGTGGGGGGTTGTTGTAAAAATCGGCACTTTCAGGGCACAAAAACACCACATTTTCACATTTTTGATAGACATCTACCACATAACTGAAAGCTGTCTCAGTGGAACAGTTATAATATATTTTGAATTAACCTGAAAGAAAGCAAAGAATATTTTGATTATGCAGCTTGAATTTTGGTCAAGATCATGTATCCATTTACACCTGCAGGCTGCAGCCATCAAACGATTTACAGTGTAAATGAAGTATAGCAGGTGAACCATGGAGAGAGCCATTTACCAGTTGCTAGGGGGTTGGGTTTAGGGCTGCAACTAACGATTATTTTAATAATCGATTAATCTGTCGATTATTTTTCCGATTAATCGATGAATCGGATTTAAAAAAAAAGCATCAATTTCCAATCCTTTATTAAAAAACAGAACTGACAGTGCAAATTCACCATGAAAAAAAAAATCCAGTGCAAAAAAAATGGACTAACAAAAAACATACACATGTACACTGTAAAAAGTAATACCTAGATCTAACTTATAAAAAGTGAGGCAAGTGGCTGCATTGGATGTTTTATGTTGATTCAACTTGCAGCCTTTTTTAAGTATATTAAACACTTTAACATTACTTTATAGAAACGCAAAAAAATCAAGTTGAGTTAACTAATAGTACTAGTATTACTCAGTTGGATAAACCTACTTTTCTTGGTACAGGTAACTTATTTATGGGTTGCTACGAGTAACCTGTACTCATTTTAATTAGGTTTTATGAACTTTATTTTCTTAGTAAAATTAACTTAATCATATGTGAATAAACATTTTAATATATTTTTTTAATTGTCAATAACAATTACAAATTCAATTGAAGAATAAAAAGATGAGAAGATAAATTGAAGACAATATATAATTTATTCAATGTCAACCAGTGTCACTTTTAACAGTGACTACAAAACAGCAAATAAATGTGGCCGCACATGTACACTCTAATATAAAACAAACACTGTAGAAGTGTATTTTCAACCTGTTCTGAACAGTACAGTGAAATATCCAAACTGCCCAATCTGAAATGTTTGGATCAAGGTAAAGTGAGCCATAACATCACATTGTATCACACTGGAACTGCAATGTCAAAAATTACATGATGATAGTTTAGGACGCACAGGGTCCAATCCTACAAAAAGCCTCTGATATATCTCAAGTATACACCAGTTTTGAGGGATACATGAGGTCGAGAGCATAGGTAAGGAGGAGCAACAGGAGGCAGCATGCTTTCGACAGGTTTGGCACACCTCTGACCACGGGCTGTCCTTATATGATAATCCCAATCGTGTCGGGGTGATGGCACATGTAAATTTTCAGTGGGCAACTGCCAAGCTCAGCGTGCACCTCTTTTTCAGCCCGACTCTATTGGTGGAGACAAAAAAGAAACAAGAGTTTGGTCAGACACATAGGAAATGAGATGAATATTAGCAGACAGGTAGAAGAGATAAGAGACAAAGTCCAAATTGTACTTTTGTTGCTAAAGGTGGTGGATACAAGATGGAGACTGTGACTAGAACATGTGACCAGAGTGAAGTCTACCATGACAATGCCATGGGTACTAAAATATCATGATCTACTCTAGCATGAGTGTTGTATTTTTCTGGTTCAAAGGATGAATTACAATAAAACAAATGCAATTGTCCTTGCCTGTACCTGATTGGTCATCACATTACTGTTAATTAAGCTACAGACAAAATTATGTCCAAAAGACATCTTTTCAACGTCTTTGTCACAAAGACGTACATTGAAAAGACGTCCACTGAGGAGCCAGAATGAAAGTTTTTACGACTTTTTTTGAGGTGTTCTGTGATGAACGTTCACGGAAGCTCCATTCAAGGTTGAAAACTAGTTCAGATGTGGACAATCTGGACAATTTTCAACATCATTTAAGGTCTCATTTGGACAATTTATACTTATTCTAGACCAAATAAACACTCTCAGGATATATTAAATTAAAACTCACATTTATTTCAATGTAATTTTCATGTGTAATTGCAAAGCAATTCACAGACAGTGAAGTTTCTTTTCATGATTTTTGGACAAACACGCACTGACACCTTTAGACAGTTTAGCATCTGTCATTTATACATATTTGGATCGTGAGAGAAATCAGATTCGAACCAGGGACCTTAAGCTGCCTGCCCTAAGTAGACAGTAATGATTTCATGATTTTTGGACAAACACACACTGTCTGAGAGTTGCTTTGCAATTAGAAATTACGTTGAAATAAACATGAGTTTTAATTTAATGCATCCTGAAAGTGTTTGGTCCAGAAAAAGTTTAAATTGTCTAAATGAGACATTAAATTACATAAAATATGTCCACATCTGAACTAGTTTTTAACCTTGTATGGAGGTTCCCTGAACGTCTATTGGACTTACAGAACACGTATAATCTGATCAAATTGTAATTGAATCTATTCTGAAGTTTGTCTTACCTGGATGTGAAGCTCGAAGACCCCAGGTAACAAAAGTGCTTGGGTATCTAAAGACCAGGAAAATGTTAGATGTTAGAAAAAAATCAGTTGTAAACTTCTTTAGGTAATAGGTTAGAAATAGTTTAAAAATCTAGACCAAAAATCTGTCATTAATTGACAATGCAGCATTAAAATATCGTGGATCAAATCTCTAAAATCAGACAGACTACTAAACATACATCTCTACAGTCTAATCTGTGCATCTGCTTTAGTAATGCAAAAGTATAATAACATAATCTCTGAGTTCTGTCAAAGACACACAACACACAAAACAAAGTGTTGTCCATAAAACACCACATCTTACTTTCCCTTATTTGCCCGCACAACTATTGCCTGAAGGCTCGAATTTGCGACCGTTTCGATCGCATATGATCCCGAAATTTAATCTGTGCAATCTAAAAATATAACCGAGGGCATTTGTGCAACTAATTATTACATACGTAACTTGTATGTGTTTTTAAACACTGCTGCTGTTTGTCTGCCGATCGACCACACTGTGCAGCCATCTTAGCTTACCATGTGTGCAGGATAGCTAGCTATACAATTTGCAAACCTAAACTCAGCTCCCTAGTGGAGTAAGCGATTTTGCGTGACTTTAGTTTACATCACCAGTCATTCGGCTAAATTTGCTCAACTTACCGTGTTAATCAGACCCTGAAATTCAGATCTGCTGCAGCGACCAAACAGTTGAAGTACCGAGGAAGATATTGCATCTGCCTGCAGTCCCCGCCAGTGAAAAAGGGATAATGCCAACTTATAAAATTTAAAATATTTACGTTTGATGAACACACCTGTCACATCGACAGCTGCTCAAATAAATTGTGCATTGTCAACTCACTTTTATAACATTTATTGTACACAACAACCACATACAAATAACTACCCAAATAAATTGCATGGGTTTTATTTAAAATATATTGTTATATAAAAACTGATATATTTTAAGTAAAGAGGAAGTATTTTGATACTCTTTTTGTATAAAACCAATAAAATAAACTAGATTACAAATATTTAAAATATATAAAACCTACTTTGTGGGTGTAGCACTTTTTACAGTGTATGCTTTACATCTGCCAAATAATATATATAGGCTTTTTAAAAATAAAGTGAGCTGCTGTCAGAACAATAAATAATTGATAAAAAATAAAGAAAAATACAAATCAGAAAACTTAACAGGATTTGTTTGAACGTCAGAACTTGTTCTCTACACCACACTAGCACACACTCACAAACTCTCACACTCACAGATGCACACACTCACAAACTTGTGTTTTGTTTTCGTCAAAGATGTTATAATCTTTAACAAAATGTTTGACATTTTTTAACAAGCAAATGCACCTATTATCATATTACCTATAATAGGTAATAATAATAGCAATAATAATAATTATAAGAGAAGATAATATCTCTAGTCTATCCTAATATTAATTATAAATACAATGTATATAAAATATAAATACAATATTAAATAATAGCCTATTTAAAAAACAAATACAATGGATTGACCATCTCCTATGGTGTGTAAGGTAGGGATGGGGAAAGGAAGCCTCGTGAATCAATGAGGCTTTCCCCTGACTGTTCCGGGAAAAGATTAAAAGCTTCGAGAGTGTCGAGAACAGCGCCATCTGGTGCTTATTTAAAATAAAGCAGTCAGAAGCCTGTGTTAAAAGCTCTCTCAGATGAAGCAACCACAACACACTCCATAATTTCAATGTTATGTGTAGAAATAAAAAAGCCTTACACGTTTGTGTTTGATTTGTCCATTAATAAATAAATTATTTTACCCATTAAAGTGTGACAATAAAATATAAAATGAGCATATGATTTAATAAGAGTTAATGTAGGCCTACTCTCTCTCTCCACACACACACACACACACACACGCACGCACGCACGCACGCACGCACGCACGCACGCACGCACGCGCACACACACACACACACACACACACACACACACACACACACACACACACACACACACATAGTGAATAAGGACATTGTGTGATAGGATCATCTGTTCATCTGACACTTGGCAGTGATAGTGCTTATGTAACTGTAGGAATGACAGAAAGGTGATAAAGATTTTAATTATTCTGTAATGCCAATGTATATAGATGGGGGTAGACATGTTTCTGCATTCTCCAGTATTCAAGTGGATCTTCAGCTCTTTGTATGTTTGTCTCTGTAAGGTATTTATCCACTTCTACGATCGCATCAGAAGTGGCATTTGAGCTTTGTTTGCGCTGGTCTACAGCACTGTCCAACAGAAGCCAAAGGTTTCCACCTCAGAAGTGTGAGGATACATTTTTTTTGTTGGGAGTGACTGTACATGTACATTGACTGAATATAAGACACATCAACGGTC